GCCCGCGGGCTGCGAGTTTGACAGCCCTGATATATAGGATCATTTTTTATGGAAGCTCTTTGCTCCCAATTGTTTTTAATTTGGGTGTAGTCTTCTTGTTTAGGTTGGGAATTCTCGCTTTGTTCATTGAGTTTCAGAATGCTTAGAGTTGCTTCTAGACCCTTTTTCTTCCAGTAATTCATATACTTTACATTTGACACATATATAGTTTGGGTCTTCTGTGGGCATCAGCTCAAATATATGACATTTTAATTTATTTTATTTGTTTGTCAAACATGTGCAGGATAACACGTATAGGTATGAACACAAACATGAACACAGGGAGTAAATACAGATGAATGGGGACAGTAGGACAGGGGCGGTAGGCACACTGGCCCACGGTAGACAGTTTGAGGTTGAAGCTGCGAGGGGTTGAGGCTGCGACCACGCAGTCAGGTAGGGCGTTCCAGGCGTTGACCACTCTGTGGCTGAGTTTGGAGCGGTTTACCTTGAGTTTGTATCAGTTTGCCCATGTGTTATTGTGGTTGAAGTTGAAGAAGTCGTTGATGGGCAAGACATTGTAGCAGACAATAATTTAGCAAGTCACTATAATGTCAGTCTCTTATCTTCATGAGTTTTTGGTTTGTTAAAAAATAAAAAATTTCAAAAAATGTATTTTCCCTGTTACGAAGTGTCTGTCAGTTTACAATAGTATATAAAAGTTAGTGACCTTAGCTCTTAACCCTCTACACCAGGGGTGTCAAACTGAAGGGTGTTTAAATCCGGAAATAGCAAAGGACTGGCCTGCGGTGCCTCCAGCAGCCAAAATGGGTCACGCCCCCACCTCCACCCCTGTGGCTCATTTTGGTCGTCAGGGTATTGCAGGAGGCGTCCATGCGGGGTCCCCCCCCCCCATGGAAAAGTACAATGCTGCTCCGGCCTTCCAAGAAATCCAGTTTGACACCCCTGCTCTATATCCTCCCTTGAAAATTTATCCTCCCTGTGCACAAGTGTGGTGTCCTTATCCTTTTCCAAGCTGCCTTCTTGCCCTTCAGTTACCTCAACACTGCCAGGGTTTTTAGGTACGATGTGCTGACCTGGGTGCCTTGCTCTGCTTAGCTGCTGCTCCGCAGTGCTGCTCTCCGCCGCTGCTGTGGGCCCTCCAGCCTGCTATCATACGTAGCTCTGCACCACTGCTACCCAGTTGGTCTGCCACACTGCTCTCGGCTGCTGCTCTGAGCTCTCCGCTCCTCTGCCCCTTAGCTCCGCATGGCTGCTGCTCAGGGTCTGCCGTGTTCTCTCAGCTGCTGGTCTGCTGGCACCTTGCCCTGTTTCCGTGCTGCTCAGAGGCCACCATTTGCAGCTCACGGCCTCCGCTCGGCTGCCTGGCTGGGTGGCTGTGCCTCCTCTCCGTCTCAGCTGGGCTGTTGGGCCCTCAGCTGGGGCACTGGGACACCTCGTTAAAGGATTCTTTTTCCAACATCTAAAAAATTCCATTTTTATGCTCATAATTCCCCAAATTTAGAAGATTTTTTAAAAAGAACATTTACACAGAAATGTATATTCTTTGATGTTAGTCTTCTATCTAGAATAACAGAGTAACAGTGTTGAAGATGGCCAAGATGTTTTGAGAATACTGAGATGTTTGGGGGTTGGGGGTAATCAGCATATTTCTCAGGGTGCCTGGCTGTGGGATGCTGGTACAAATCCCTGCTCTGCTCCCTATCACCTGTCACTCCCCCCTCCCAATTTCCTACCACATCGGATATTTTATCTCCTAAGTATATACAATAAAGTATTGCAAAACAAGTAAAAGCAAATGGCTCTTGGGACAAATGTGGGTATTTGTGAGATGTAATCTTAATTTAAACCTGTCTTTTCATTTTCTGAAGAACTCTGGGATTGAGAAAGCTTTTCTTTTTGATGTTGTCAGCAAGATCTATATTGCAACAGACAGTTCCCCTGTTGACATGCAGTCCTATGAGCTATGTTGCGACATGATTGACGTTGTGATTGATGTTTCTTGCATATATGGGTAAGTAAATGCTCTGAAAGTATGGAACAACAACCGTGAAAGAAGCTGGTGGCTTCTGAGTACTTCAGAAGATCCTTTACTGTTCAGGGGTTTTTGAGAAATGCAAGATAACCTTAAAATTGTGAAGGATTTAGTTTACAAGGTGGGGGGTGCTATGCCTCTTTGCTTATCGTTGGCATGATTTTGTCAACAAAACTGATTTTTGTCCAGGATCCTGAGCAAACATCATATGTCTCTCATGTCATGATCACGCTACAGGTATTTCTATCAAAATCTAACTGCTACCCAGAGTTACCTAATTGATATAAATAAAATAAAATAGCAGAGGTCATCAGTATTGTGATATTTTCTGGATAAAATATCTTTGGATGCCAATCAAACTAAGAAAACAAATGTAGATTTTTGAAGTGGTTATAAATTGTGACGATTGTAAATTTACAACAGATTTATATTCTTTACAATTTATGACAAACTCAGAAATATACAATTGCTTCTTAACTTGATTGACCTACAAAGACATTTTCAACTGAAGTGCCTAAATATCTGAGGCATCTGAGTTGTATCAAGTTTAAATGCTCAGTCTAAATCTCAGGTGTGCTGAACAGTCTTTCTCCTTCAACCTACTTTAGATTAAAAGAAGATGGCAGCGGTAGTGCATATGACGAGGAATCTATGGCAATTATTAAACTCAATAACACAACTGTTTTATATTTAAAAGAAGTGACAAAATTTCTAGCCTTGGTGTGTATCCTCAGAGAAGAAAGCTTTGAGCGCAAAGGTGAGCAAATGGCCTCATAATTTGGGACCAGCAGCCCAAACAGAAGCATTAAAAACTATCATAATTTTGTTACTTTTTTCCAAAATAGAAAGTACGCTCTGTTTCAATCTCAGGGTAAAGCAGTCTCCTCTGAAATATTTAGTCTGAGCCGACTGTATCTTAGTGAGGTGAAAGTTGGGCTATATTTCAAGTGTGCCAAGTATCATACAGGGAGCAACATTAGAAATGTTTCAGTTCATTGGAAGTGGTGGCTGCTTGGAATGTCCTTTTTTTTTCATCTTTTAGTTCAACAAAACTGTAACTGTTGGCCATGTAAATTTTCTAAAATCAGTATTCGAACCGTTGTACAAATGACAATCACAGAAAAAGAGCATTATCCAAAAATTACATTAAATGCCAGACAGCATAGGTAGCCCTTGACTTACTGCTTGGATTGATACAATCTGAATCTGTCTCCAAAGCTTCCACCTCTTGTTTCCTGAGCTCTTCCCAGCTGATGCCGCTCTTCCCTTTGGTCCCCGTCCCTTTTTCTCCGCAGGCCTCATAGACTACAATTTCCACTGCTTCCGCAAGGCCATCCACGAGGTCTTTGAGGTGGGCCTTTCCTCTCACCGCTCCTGCGGCCATCAAGCCAACATTCCCAATTTGAAAGCAGCGACTCATAACGGCACCCCGAAGGAGGACTGAGTCGGGACGGCCTGGGGCTGGCTTGCCTACCCTGGGCCTGGGTCAGGGCAGGAGCAGCAGCACGGAGGATGGGCGGCACGACGTCCTCCGTTTTGTTTGAAGCAAGCGGAGGTGGCCCTCCCCAGGAGTGACTGAGGGGAAGCCAAGAGGCTGTGGGGTGCCTTTCGTGGCCATTGGGCAGGCAGCCTCTCCTCCACGGGGGAACTTTCTTCTTTGTTTCCGGATTCAGCAGCAGGCGATGTGCTCCAGGCGCTCAGAAACTCAAGCGTAGTAGTTCTTAAGTTACTTGAGTATACGCTCCACACATTCCACCTGAGATATCGCATTGTTTTGTGGTCATGCCTGAAAGAAGCCACCTCTCCTTTGCAAACCCATGGAATGAAAACGCCCGTCTGCTTTTCTAGCTCTAACTGTCCTCAGAACTGTTTGAAAGGTCACGTCTTGAGTTGCCAAGCTTTTGGCCACTCGGTATCAGTGCCTGCAATCATTCGTGCCCTGTTTTTTTTACTCTGATTCTTCTACGCTATTTTTCCCCCTGAAGCGGGTTTGGGTGGCGCTGGCTCCCTCAGCTAGGAAACGGAGATGAGCGCCATCCCCTAGAGTGGGACACGACTGATCAGGAGACACCTTCACGCTCTTTACCAATAAGTCCACTTCATGCTGCCGTGGCCAACACGGCTAGAATGCATTCAGTGTCATTCAATATACAGCTTTGACAAGAACGGAGCAATTACAGGTTTTGGTTGCTAGAATTTGCAAACAAGTTTGCTCAGTTTTAACAACATGTGAACTTTCCTTCAGTAGGAATACTTTCCATCTGATGAAATGTTTTCTCTGAATCTTCCTGTAGATCATCTGTGTTTTGGCAGGCAAATGCCATTCTCTTAATGATGACAGCACTTCCAGAGCCTCAGACTCTGTTCTTTACTCAAAATGTCAGTGTGAGTTTGTTGAAGGTTTAACAGATGCTTTCACGCTCTTCACAGGTGATTGTATTCTGCCAGAAGGTCCTGGCTGGAGGGATAAGATATTAATAAAATACCTTTTATCT